CACACACACACACACGAAAAAAAACAAAAACAAAAAAACGGAGTTGATTCTGCCCCGCGTGGCTGCTTCCAAAAACAAAAACAAAAACAAAAACATACAAATAACGCAACACGCAAGGAGGAAACACAAATAAAAAAAAAAAAACCACTGGCGCTGACGCAAAAACAAGAAAACAACAACAACAATAAAAAACAATAACAATAACAACACATCCCACCACCTCATACAAAAACGGAAACTACCGGGAGGAGTGTATCCTCACACAAACAAATATATAAACAAATAAGTAAATAAATACACTTGTGTATATGTATGTGTATATGTATGATTGACCCCCCACATCTCCCCTCGTCTCTTAAAGTCCCTGCAGTTGATTTCATGCAACCATTCATTCATGCCTTCATTTCATTTTACGTACATACACACGTGTCTATATATATATATATATATATATACTCCTCTTTCTGTAATTTCAGCCCTCTTTGCTTGCTACTCCTGGTTACTCAGCACATGGTCGTCTTAAGCTTAACGTGAATCACACCACGCCCTCTACTCCTTTTCTATATACATATACGTATATATGCAAGATCCGCTGCTTCTTCCTCCTCGGTGATAGTAGGCACTAAACAGAAACACAAACACACACACCAGCGCAAAAACGTCCACGCTCTCCTTTCTTCTTCGGCGTCTTTTTCTTTATTATTATTATTATTTTTTTTTCCTCTCGCTTCTCTGGTTGTGCGCGTGTGACACCTTTGCCCAGTCGAAGTTTTACATTTTATTCGGTGTGTTTCCTGACAGAGCGCCTGCAGTGCGAAGTGTATCATTTCCCCGCTTTCCCTGCCTCTCCCTCCACGCCCCCACCACCGATCCCCCCTCTTGGAGGAGCAGGGACGTGTTGCTTAGCCTACGGAGAGAAGACAACAGGGGAATAGAACTGCTGCGGGTACCCGCCTGACGCCATCATAGTGGTTGGCACAACAAACGGCTGCGGCACGCCGGCGGGCGCATTGGTCCAGGGCGGCATTGTGACGTACACCGGCATCCCCATCATGGAAGGCTGAAGAAAGGCGGGCGGCATCGGGAGGTAGCCTGGCTGCGCGGAGAGAGGGCCCACTGGGGGAGCCATCTGCTGCTCCACTGGCACTTGCTGGTATAAAATGGGTTGCGCCCCCGCAGCCGCGTTGTTGTTGTATCTGCTGCCACAACCAAATTCACCAGTGGGAAGAAGCGGCGGAGTGAGGTTAACCTGCGACGGAGTGATGGGCGGTGTGAGTTCTTGGCTAGAGCATGGGGAAAGTGAAATGCTCTTCGTCAAGCCCAGAGGCCCGTCTGTCATACAGGCTGTGCTGTGTACGCTGGAATTGGGCGTGCGGTGCGGCTTTGCTGAGGGCCGCACGCGACTGATGGGTGGGTGCGCCGATGATGGGTCGAGCGGGACGGGCGTCGCAGCGGCGTCGGCGAGTCGCGCCTGAAGCGTTCGCCCGCCCAACCAATGGCCATTCAGCTGCTTGATACATTTGGCGGCTGCAGCCTCCTCAAAAAATAGCGCAAAACCATAGCCCTTCATTGGACGGCACTTGGTGTCAATGCACAGCTTAGACGCCTCCACACGGCCAAAGGTCTGACACATTTCGCGGAATTCCGCTGCACGAAATGTTTCTGGCAGGCCAGAGACGTACACATTGCGTCGTTGAAGCGTGTTATCTCCCTCCTTCGCCTGGTGAGCCGAGCTGGCTGCATTTGTGGCTCTGTCGTTCTGCGGCTGCCCCAGGGACTCCGGGTTTATAAGGTTCGTGGAGTTCAATGAATGGCTCATACCGTGCCTGGTGTTCCCGCCCAAGTGAAGTGCGTAAGGAAACAACAAAGAGTAGCTGGAAATCGTTGGATGAAAAGCTGCCCGGCGGTTCCGGTTTGTCTGCGTGTGAATGGTCACTTTCTAGATGCATGAAACGAAAAAAAATATATGAAAAAAATGGAGGAAACAATGGCAATCGGTTCACTGCAAAAACAAAGACACACAGAGAGAACGGGGAAAAAAAAGACCCTCACACTGGCCCTTTGGATGCTGCATCCTGCAGAAACCGGAACCGCACCGCGTTAACCACGTCATTCCTTGCGGTGGTGCACAGCTGAAACTTTAGATAGATGTGAATGCGCTGCGCAGCAGCAGGGAAACCCGAGAAGAAGGCCGCCCGACATAAACAGCGGCAGCTACACACAAAACAACAACAATCATAAAAGCCACACCAAACGGATATGTGGCGTGTCGGCCAATGCGGAGCCGTTGGCCCCATCGCGTGCACACACGATTTGGTAGCCGGCGCAGTTGAAGGTACACACCACCGCCGCCCAGATTGCACCACCGCAAAAGGAACAACGAAAAACACAAAATAAAGTATATCATCATCATCGGGCACCAACATCGGCACCGGGCAGAGGCAGGACTCAAAAGACGGCACCAAACAAATAATTTAAGCGACACTGCTGCGTCCATGCAAGCACAACAACAAATCCCCGCATCATGTTCTCTGCACCCAATATCGATTGCATGCATGTATGCGCGTCCTGCTTCATTAAGAGGACGGCATCAGCGTCAGCTTCCTCAGTGTGACCGTCTTTGCTGTCGCTGGCATTCCGCGCAAGTGGTGTGGAGGTACCGCCTGCCTCCGCCTGCGTTGTATCCCTCAACCGGGCGATGCCCTCCGAAAAGGAGTGATGCCGTCTCGCCCGCAGCCCACCGCCGCCGCCCGCAGCGTTCACCACCAAAAAACATGTTGGTCTCCTTCAACTGCTCTTGTTGCCGTTGTTGCTCCCGCCTCGTTGGCTGTGTGAGACCCGACGTAAAAAGGCTTCCACGCTCTCGGTGATAAAAAACGATGGGTTTCTACGCAGGCATGTACGGCCGCGCGATTTGGTGCAGGACGCGTTGATGGTTCGCCTGACCCTTCCCAATGTCATACCGCTGAAGCTCGAAAAGCACAGATCTTTCCTCGGTGCCGTTTACCTCCCATCGGGGGGTGCCGTCACTACACTGGGAAGCAAGTTCCCTTCAAATGCGCTGACGTTGCCGCAGCTGTTCTCGCCCAAGGGTTGGCCTAACGCGTTCGTATCTGCCCCTTTTTTGGCCCTCAGGGCGGGTGCTGTGACGTGCAGAAAAATGGGGTGAGTTACCAGCCGCAACAGCACCTCATAGCCGCGACAAACGGAATCCCCGTCGTCGTGAATGTTATACCGTGAAACAATGAAAAACTCGCAAACGCCTGATTCCCCACCCCACCCCCTCACCCCACCCCGCAGCACGAGCACAGGCTTCACACAATCAGAGTCAATGTTGGACAGCTTCGACGGAAACACCGCCAAGCGCATCTGGGTGACGGCATGCACGAGGACGACGCGTTTCCCGTACGTGAGCTCCGGCGCCGTGTTGATGTTGCTGAAGTTCTCGATTAGAAGAACTTTGTTGTCGCAGCTGTTGTCCTGCTCCTGTACCTTCGCCGCTAAGCTCGACGCAAGCGCCTCAATCCAAAACATGCTGGTCTCAAACCCCAGCAGCGGCAACGGCTCCTGGTCAATGTCAAATTCGGCCTTGTCACAGAGAAACAGGCCCTCCGTTTGCAGCCCCGTGACCGTGATGTATCCGTCCTTGCATGGTAAGTGGATGAGGGAGTCGCACCTAATTGTAAGACGTTTTCGATTTATCAATGACCTTGTTTCCTCTCAAGCCTCGCACGTACACGTACAGAACGGCTTGGGAGGGATTTGCTACGGCTGTTAAGCTGTCAAGGCTAATACTCCTATGATTACCACTACCAGCAAGATCCCCAAGATTGTTGTTTTATTGCTTTACTCAGCCAACGAGGTATTCTGTCTCAAGGACGCTTCAGACCACAGTCAACAAAATACCGTATACGTGTTCAGAGGTAGTGCCATCACATCTGAGCATGAGTGAAGGAAAGGGGGAAGGAAAGAAAAGAAGACAAATGACCGTCCACATACATATGCGTATACATGCAGATGCGCGGGGAGCAAAATGATGGTGAAAGAGAGGTAAAGTAGGGGACAGGGTGGGTGAGAAAACAAAGAGTCAAGCTTCAGCCATCTGCATGCTTTAACTCACACGTTCTACTCGTCATGTTTCGCTGCCGTTCACAAAAAAGAAAAAAGAGTAGGGGAACAGCCATCATAGTGGCCCCTCAACCGCCTCATACGATGGAGCTGAAGTCTGTCGTTGCACCATAAAGTCTGTCTTCGCCAAGGGCCATGCTGCCGATCAGGTTTTGCACCTTGTCAATGCCCGCTAGCCGTAACGAACTCGTGAGCAGAAGCTCCTTGCAGTGCTTGTAGTGGACCAGCTGACAGCGCGTGTGGTCCGCAAGTCGTGCAAGAAAGCGAATGGGTGCGGCATCTGTCTTTGTGAGCACAACGGTAAAGGGAACGCCCAGGCCCTCAAGGTAGTCCAGGTACGCAGTATCGGCCTGCTGCACCCCACGCGAGGAGACGCACACAAAGACACGCTTGATGGGGCGTATTTGAGCGGCGGCAGGACCACCTACATGTCCCTTTTCTTTCGTCCGCTCGTTTTTCCTCGTCGTCGTGGAGTGCCGGCTGCAAGCTTTAAGGTAGGCACGCATGACAGCGATGGCGTTCTCGGCGTCCACGGCGGGGGTCTCCATGGGGTTGTAGTACCCGTAGCCAGGACAGTCCACCAGTACCACCTTATTGGCAACATTGTAAAAGTTCACGGAACTCGTGGTGCCCTGCAGGTGACCGTATGGCGCAATCAAGGCATTCAGCACGGCGTTGATCAGAGAGGACTTGCCGCTAGAGGTCCGCCCCACAAAGGCAACCTCCGGCACACACCGCTGAGTCTCACCCAACTCCATGTTACTGCCGCTGCTGTCAGCACGCCTTCCAGCCGTGAGCAGAATAGGAAACTGCTTGGCATGTATCGCCTTGGTCGCAAGCCGAACCGTCCCACCGAACGCAAAGGTTTGCTGTGCCTTACGTGAGGCGGTAAAGACGGGGGCGGTGCCGTCGCCCTTCGTGATCCAATGCTCCCAGGAGACCCCTCTCTTCAGCCGCCTCTCGATGCGTCTTCCGTGCAGCCCCTTGTAGATCTCCTCGAGGATGCCGCGATCCAAGGGGCGCTGGCGAAGCTCCTGCCTAAAAGACACTCGTGTGGGCTGCAGCATTTCCCGCACCGCCCCCTCCACCCCAAACTCCCGCACGAGATTCTCCTGGCGTCGCAGGTGGCCCTTGGAGTCACGCCACACTTTGCTCACTGCCGCGTCCGTCGCCGTGCGAAAATGATCAAGCTGCTGCTGCCGTCGCAGCGTGTCGGCGGCCTCCGCGTCCAAAAACTGGGCCACGTCCGGGCCCAGCCGATTATTCTCGCGGTACTCGCTGCGATAGGCGGAGGCCGCAGACGACGGCGAAGGTGAGGCAAATGCTGTAGGGATGTCACCCTCACCATGCGTTGGCCACCCACCCGCCAGCTTAGGAATGATGATCTTGCCAGCGTTCCGCACCAGCCGCGAGCTGTGAAAGAGACGCGTAGAACCGGCAAAAACGTGGGGCGCAACGAGGCGCCGTGCGCCAGCAAACCTACATGCCATGAATGTGAGTGGGTACAATTGCCCACACCCTCGCTCCCAAGTATATTACGACTGTTGCTGTTGTGTCGGCCCCGTCTAACCCGCTGGTGCACGGGAAGCAAAAGAAATCAAAAGAAAATAAAGAAAAAAAAAGGTGTAGTGTGTGGGGGGTA